AGATGGGAAAGTGACGACTTGGCAAACAGTTGTATCGAGGAAGTTACGGGAAGTTGTGCTGCGTCAATCCCATGATAGCTTAAGAGGAGGACATCTCGGAATTAGGAAGACATTGAGTCATCTACGACAAAGATTTTATTGGATAGGTATGAGGCGAGATGTGGAAGAATGGTGCCGGACATGCAGTACATGTAGTGCAAAAAGGGGACCCAAGCATAATGGACGCCCACCTTATGAAGAGTTGCCTGAGAATGTGTCAGAATTTGTGGAAGTGTTATCGGAAAGGATGGAAGATATCCACCATCAAGTGCGTTCAAACTTGAAAACGTCTGCTGATTCGATGAAGTTAACTTATGATAAGAGATCTACTGTAGTCAACTTTGGACCAGGAGACATGGTGTGGTTGTATAATCCCAGGAAGACCAAAGGGAAGTCTCCTAAGTTGTCTTCTCCATGAGAAGGCCCATATGACATAGTGGATCGTCTCTCAGACGTGACTTTCCGGATAAAATGTGGTCGGCGAAGTAAGCCAAAAGTGGTGCATGCCAACAGGCTTTGGCGTTATCACGGTCCAGGACATTTCCATTGGGACGAAGTGGAAAACAGAACAAATGACGCTGCTGAAGACGTGCCACATGAAGAAGCCACCATCGAAGAAGAAACTCTACTCAGTTTTGAGAAGGGAAACGGTGAAGCTCTTGAGGAAGTTACTACCACTGATGTGACTGTTACCGACGATAGGACATTTACTGATGAAGCAGATGAACCCCACGTGAAGCAGAAGCCAACAAGACAGAGACCAGTACGGAAGAAGATACGTCCCGTAAAATTAAGAGACTTTGTGGAATTGTAATTTTGTGATTGTAATTCTGTACATTTAATTAAGTTATTGTTAATTGTTATTGGTTTATTGTTTGTGGCTATTGTTCGGGACGAACAATACTAAGGAGGGGGCAGTGTTGCGTCAGCGAGATCACGTGACTATTATCACGCCACTCCTTCTCTCGAACCTTCGAGAGATTACTAGATATAGGGTAGTCTGGTGTATATAAGATGGTCACAACGTGACGCAATAATGTGTGTGTAGACAGTGAGTAATTGATCTGCAGTCAGAGAGTATTATTGAGCACGTTCGTTGTTATAGCGTTTGTTTTAGCGCGATTGTTGAAATTAAGTGTATCGTAAAGGTGTATTCGGAAAGAATAAACCAGTTTTATTAAGTAAGGACTTGTGTCGCTAAAGTTTCGTCGGAACGAAGTTACGGAAAGTTAATTAACAAACGGAGACGTAACAATATGATGACAGTAATAATAATAAATGGGCTAGTAAGTTAATATGAAATAATAAATCTCTAATTTTAGAAGATTTTACGTCTCTTATCATTTGTTAAATTTTATTATTGTTTTAATTTATTTAATTTCAGTAGCATCAGCTTCTCGAAATTGTTATCCATCAATTCAGCTCTTTTTGGCTTCAAAATGTCTTTCCTCGTTGAGAAAATGCGCTCTATAGCTGCATTCAATGACATGGGCGTATTAAAGTAAACGAAGAGAAATTTAAAAACTGGTGAATATAAAAACCTTGATTCCATATCAGGAACAGTTTTATTTGTTCGTTGCTACTTTGGGATGAATTACTTGCAGATTTTGCTTCTTCTTTAAAGCACATGAATAAGTCTTCTTCGCCGTCTCCCCCAGTGCTCGAAAATGACGAAAAATAACTTAAATAAGGATTTGCTGAACTTTCATCACTGCCGTTTTTCATCGTCTTGGAATTTTTTTAATAGCCATTTGTTTTATTGGTTCTTTTTTTAGTATTTGAGCTGATCGAAATCAGTTTAAATCATGGGAGAACAGCCGCTGCAGAAATGTGATCCTCATTGACAAAGACAACTTCCAAGCACTTCTCAATTCCTGGAATATAAACATTAATAAGTGGCTTGCAAGTCAGAAGTAGTTTACCACAAAGGTCTTTCGGTTTAATCAACATGTGGTAAGTGTTGGCAGAAGTAGTCCGATATAGGTATTAGTTTCATTTTGAAGTAAATCTAATACACTGCTACAGGTCATATGAGGATTACATATTCTTTGATGAAGTTTATATCTGAAAAGCTGAAATGAGCGATGCCTAGCTCATCACACACGTTATTGACTGAACCCTCTCTCTTCCTTATTATGCTCTCCATACGAACAAATGCATGATACATTAAATTCCACCATGTATCACATGGAACAACAAAGCCGTTTCCCAGTTCTTGTTGTATAAAGTCAGCTGCTGCAGCTCTGTTTTTTCAAAGCATCTGGCCCTTTGCAAATGCCGATTGGGACACTTTCTTGAATGTAAAATTGCTGAAAGCCTTTTCTACACCACTGGTTGCTATTAAACTGAGTGTATGTGCCACAAATCAAAGATGCTCAAGCACAAAGCAAGCCTCACTGGACTTTGTCTCACTACTACTTATATCAGAAATGTGGGGGAAGTTTAGCTTATTTTCTTTTTCTTCATCACTTGACTCCAGTGTGCTTTGTTCTATTTTGGAATCACCTGCATCACTACTTACAGGTTCAGCCCTTGATTCAGTGGAAAAGATTCTGCAAAAACAAATAGTAAAATATCAAAATAGACGTGTATAGGATGTGTGACATAACTTAATAGTTCCATCTTGGTATGGTATTGCCATATTGGCATTGTATAATAATAATAATAATTCAATTTCTTATACAGTACTCTTCTAGCCATTGCCAGCCATTCAAAACACCTGTCGTTGACTAGTCTATATAATAGTTGAAAGCCAGGTAAAAGAGATATGATTTTATAAGACTTGACAGACTTCACACATTGCAGCTTGATCGGGAGAGGGTTCAAAAGTTTAGGAGCATAGAC